TTTTTATTTTATGTTAATTTCATATTTTATACTATTATATTAAATTCTTACTTTATGTTTTTAATATTCAATATTTTAATATTGTTAATATTTTATTAAATTTATATTTATTTCATATTATTTAATTTTATTTTGTGTTAGTTTCTTATTTTATATTTTGCATTGATTTTTTATATTTGTTTTTTTTTTGTTTTTAATTAATATTTGTATAAATAAATATAAAATTTGTGCCATAAATTTATTTATTTTTATTTCATTTTTTTGTTTAATATATTTAGTTACTATTTAATTTGCGATTTTAAACGTATATATCGTATAATGCATTAAAGCATTGTCGACTTGAAAGAAAACTTCAGTCAAAAACCTATGACAATATCTAAAAATGGTCAATCCAAATAGCTTAGCAAGTGATCTAATTACTGATCTAATTACTGATCTAATTACTGATTTAATTACTGATTTTCTTAATAAAGGCACCAAAATTTAAATATTAACACTTAAATGGTTTAGCAAATTTATACTTTTTTGACCAAAAACAATAGGTAACTAGCTTCAGAGAATTTTCTGACTCAAGTTTTCTTAGTATAGACTTTTCTTTCCTTAGACGCCTTGTATCGAGTACATTATTAAAAATAGGACTCTTCAATATGTCTTTTGATTTTTGGACTAAAATATCATCTCATCAATAGTTTTAAATATTATTTAAATATTAATTAATTTTTTAACAATTAAATAATATTTTTTATATTTTTTAATATCTTACAAATTCGACACCTCATAAGGTTTAAGTTTTTTATCGAAGAAAAATTTTTAATTATATTCAACGGAATTACACAAATAATCGCTATGTGAGACTTGAGTGAGACTTATATCCTGTTTGCCGCACCCTTTCATTGCGGTTTAAAGTTTCTACGAATGTGTTTAATATTTTAATATCCTTTGTACTTTACGTTAAGCCCTTGATGCACTTTTAAGGCTTCCACTTATTTACACATTCAGCTGTGAACTTGCGGTGAACGTAAGCCTTAGTAAGAAGTCCTTTGACTTAATTATTTAAAAAAAGTGTTGGATTGCACGATTGCAAAAAAAGATATAGTTTACACAAGTCATTAAATTAAATTTATTTTATAATATATAAACATTTAATTAAAATGGTTTTGACGATAATTATTGTATTATATGCAATATCCATTATATATAAAATATATGTGGTATATATGTGGGGTATATTATATATTGATTTATATATACACACATACAGATTTTTATATAATATCCCTTATATATAATATATGTGACATGTATGTATGGTATATTGTATATTGATTTATATATACACAAAGATTTTTATATATCTTTTATATATAAAATATATGTGGTATGTATGTATGGTATATTGATTGAATGTATATACATACGTACAGATTTTTATATAATATCCGTTATATATAATATATGCAATATGTATATAGTGTATTGTATATTGATTTATATATACATACATACTGATTTTTATATAATATCCGTTATATATAATATGTGCAATATGTATATAGTGTATTGTATATTTATTTATATATACATACATACAGATTTTTATGCCTTTACACATACATATATTGTTAATTTTTATTTGATTTTCACTTTAAATGTTCTTTTTATAATAAATAAATAAATTTATAAAATTTTTTTGTATAATAATTTCTTTAAATATATGTAAAAAAAGACATCAATAAAATATTTTCAAAATTGCATAATTGAATTAGTTGACAATATTTTTTTTTGTTATATACACACCATTTTTTAAGCTAATTAGTTTTTTTTACACAAGAATTAGCATTTAAATTAAAAAAACTGCAAAGAAATTATTCAGGAAGAAAAAAAACTGTAATTTTTATCCTTTTTTGTATCAATAGATTTTTATTTCTTGCACTGATATATCCACTCTTCGATATAATATCAAATACAAATATCCTCGCTTAGGATCACACACAAATATCCTTTTGCACTAATAAGGATTCAGGGTTTGTAGTTAAAGGACACTTCTCAGTTAAATATTTAAAAAATTTTTTGAAATTTATCCGCTTTTGTGCCAAGTACGTCCGAACCTCAGCACAACTTAACTTGTTCTGAGACTTAAAAATCAATCGTTCACTTGAATTGTGGCCAAAAAGAGCTTAACCTGCTCACTAATTGGATTGTACCATATTGAGCCAGCAGTGAATCTTTCAAGTTATTTCCTTTTCTATTCGATTTATCAGGTTATCTTTTTTAAAGTAAAGTTCTGTGCGCTCAGCTTGGAAAATGCAACTTAAGCGTTTGGTGGTTGAAATCTGGAAAAATATACACCAGTTCTTTACAATGGGTAAAAAATATATCAACTTAAATATAAAATAAAATTAAAATAATTTTATTTCCTTTGTTTAGAAATCTATTATCAAAACAAAAGAAATTGAAGAAATCCACTTATGAAAACTATAAAATATATGAGAGACGCAAAATATATAATTTGAATGGTGGGTAGCCATTCAGTATAGAAGTATATGGTAGAGTGTTAAATCACTCAAAAACTGCACATTATTGCAAATAATAATTAAATACAATATATAAAAAACGTAAATATTTATTTTATTTTTACGTTTCTTAAACAAATTGCTTTGTCTTTTGATTGCTTTAATAAATTAATTTAATTATATCGTTTAAGGACTATAGATTATTGTAATTGAATTAAGTACCATACATAATATACACTTATTTTATATATAATTTTATTGTGTAATAAAATTAAAAAAAATAAAAACTCATTAAATATATAAATTAGTAAAAGATTTTTGAAAAAATGTCTTTGGATTTCATTATCAATAATAATGTAGTTTATTTACAAAAGTGCTTTATAACAGCAAGATTTTTTTCTTTATACATATATGTACAACTCATTGAACCCATTGAACGAAAACTAACTCATATGCTTTGTGTACTGAAGGGCTAATGGGTTAATTACATCTTATTATGTTCATATAAAAATATACTCTATATTATTGGATAGTATTTCCGAGCCATCTTTTCTATTTTTAATTATTACGTAGTTAAATTTGTTATCATTTACTAGAATAAGTAAGCCAGATATTGAAAATATCCATATTACAATATAACGCTTATTTCAATGAAAATCAATGACTACATAAATTGTGGACTCAGTCCAAAAATAGCAAATACGCATTACACCTGTCTGCATATATGAATAATTCTCTTATACCAATCTTAGCCTATAAATATATTGATAATAAACTCTCAAAACTAGCTAACTATATGAAAAATAAAGGGAATTACTTACGTTCCGTGGCTACATGTAGCATACTCCGCAGTACGTGCTATGGAGGACGAAACATGATTGGAATTACGAATGGAATTGATGAGTTAGGATGGGTATGCTTAAAAACAAAGCGGAAGAAGAGTTATATGAAATGGCCAGGTATAAGGGTGTGGTCAGGAGCTTATTGAAACTAGAAACTAATCTAGATCAAGGTAGAGAAAATTGAGCACTTCATATATGAGCCATATACCAGTAGGACTCGTTATATCCATTTTAATAAAAAACAATTGCGTGTTTTTATAAGCAGTAAAGCTGCAATTAGAGCACATAATGGAAATTAATGTGTTTATACATCGCACGTAATTGCTAAGCACGTAGCTATATCCTAACCTAGGGCAGCACTGGTTGCACGAAGAAGACTTCTTTTATATCTAGAGATTTAAACAGAGAAATGTTGAATTGTCTGTAAAACATGGTCTCGAAAAAAAGACTACTTCTGTACTTCACTATCTATTCCGAAATAAAATAAATCGAACAGTATTGAAAATTGGGAGCATTATTTCACAAAAGTGCCACTTAACAGCACAATAAAAGTGTTTATTATTGCTGGTGATAACTTGTGCGAACTGTTATATTTGATATTTTATTTAAACACTTGTTAAATTATTTGTGTTTGTCGGCTGCTGGTAATTTGTTATTTTTTAAGCATCTACTACATCATCTTGTGATGATGTCCAAAACTGCTCAAATACAAACATTACGCTATCGAGAGGTACACCAGATGTTTAATTTTCTACTATATTCACGGTATAATTTTCTATTAATAAAATGTCTTTTAGATCTTAAAAGTTTAATTCTCTTTATTAACCACACATATCGGCTTTAAAAACAATTTCTTCAAAATTGTTACATTATCTCTGAGTATATGAGAACAAAACTTCTTCGGCCTTAAATCGGCAGTAAAAGGAAGTATGCAATTAAAAGCATATGTCTGTTAAATTATCAACTACAAAGCACACTAAAATTAAGTAAAATTTTTATTATGTTGGTACATTAGAAAGAATGAAATCCTCAGGACCCTCAAGATTGATCCGATCAAAGAATACATAAAGGATAGAGACCTGAAATTATTTACGAAAACTGACCAACACCGTGTTATCGAATCTCAGAATGGTTACAAGTACCTCAGGGAGGTATGTAGATCTGAAGTCAATTAATTCTTAGTCTGATGAAGTGATAAACAATAATACAGTCAAGGTGTTGAGAGGGATTATAAAGAAATCTTGCAGTTAATAGAGGTAAAAGTGCTCAAGTACACTGACTCAACTAGCCTCAACATAATAAAATATATTTATTGTATTACATTTAAATTAAGTAAATAAGATTAATAATATGTTATTGTTTTATATGAGCATTAATTGAAACATTGTACATTGTGATATATTTTCAGGTAAAATATTTTTTTTTATTTTAGAGAAATTACATATGGTTTCTTTTTTAACTATTAATTTTATTTATTTATTAATGAATAATAATAAACACAAAATTATAAAAAAAAATATTAAAACATATATTCGCTGTTAGTGATTAAAAAAATAATAAATAATTATTTATAATTAATAACATTAAAACACCAATTTTAAATCTATACTATTTATAAAACATAATTAGAACATAAAATATAACATCAGACATGGCAGACATCCAAAATCCTTACTATTTTCGACTTTTAATTTTATTATAAATCCAATGATAGTAAGTATTCTCTTTGACAAATTCTTTCTCTAAAAATAAAAAACCAAATAAAAGTTAATCATAATTTTATTTTTTTCTAGAAATAAATATACCTTCAGTTTTAAAGTTTTCGGCTACAATTGGAGGACAAATATTTTCCATTGAATAAAAAAATGTGGATTGAACTTCACGTAATTCAGTACAGGATACCATGGTTATGCGGCGTTTATAGGGATCCTTGCTGTAAAAGAGAATAAAGATAAATTAAATGCAAATACAAATAACTTTTTTATTCATATAATTGAACATTTTACAATATAGTGAATAATACAATTTATTACGACTTATATTTATATTATTATATATATTATATTTCTTATACTTCTTATACTACTTATATATCTTTCCAACATTATGAGTTTAATGGCAATCTGTTTGCTTACATATTCTAAATATGTTAATAATTCCAGGAGCAACCTACCAGTTATTGGTTAAGTCAACAACTACTGTAAATAAACGTCTAAATCATTATTATCTAATCAAGAATGCGTCATTTATAAATTATGCTCAGAGAAGAATATTTCAGGAGATGACCCACATATAATAAAAACTCTACTAGATACATACAAAAACATAGAGCTACCTATAACAACAAACTCTCACATAAATACATCCGATGCCATTTCTAACTCATACTTCATACCCCTAAGCAGACTGACCTTATCCCATCCCATAAGAATTGTCTGTAAAACATTATCTAATTGAGTTTTCAACACTGATCGCTGTCTCCAGAAGTTTGTGAAGAGTGCTTTGATAATAAAGTTGTTAAAGATCCCTTTACATTTCGATTAAATCATTAAATAAAGTGCTATGAATATACATAATCTCGATCCTATAAATACTTCTGAGTAAATCTAGTAACATCGATCTTCTTTTTGAAATATTTTTGAAATAAATAAACAATGTGTATGTATGCGTATAGAAATATGTCACAAATTATAAAATAATTTAAAAATAATTTTAAAAGTTTAAATATTTCGAATATCGAATATTTATTAAGACACTTTCAAAGTTCCAAATTAATATACATAATATGGCATTAACAGAAGAAATGTTTAAAAATAAAAAGGTAAATATATCAGATTAAGATATTTATTAATTAAATCGTTTTTAATAAATTAGTTTTCAATTATTTTTTCATTTATTAATTGTGTGAAAATAAACAGTGGTAGATTAAATTCGAAGCACTCCCCGATTAATTATGATATATACAGTCAAACTCCCATAACTCGAAGTACCATTTGGCTCGAAGATTCGACTTATGAAGACTTCGAGTTAGAGAATTTTTTTTATTTTGTTTTTGAAAAAAACTATAATTTCATTTTAAGATTTTATTTATTTATTTGAAATAAAATACAGCACAGAAGTTATAGTGAAGTAAAATACACAGAAATTTCATTCTTGGAAAACTGATGAACAATTTCATTGGTTTGGAAAAAGGGAATTCCCCTAACATCAAAATGGATTCATACTTAAAACAAAAATTCGACTTATAGAATGCACTTTAATATATTCCAATTGGCACCTGACAATATTATTATTCGAGTTATGCAGAAATTCAAGTTATAGAAGTTCGAATTATAAAAGTAGAATTGTATGTAATTTGTTCTCGAAAACCCTGTTGCACTCTTTTTAGTTCGAGTTATAGAAAATTCGAGTTAAAGAAGTTCGAGTTATGGAAGTTTGACTGTATATTCAAACATTATATCTCACGCGATGTTTAGACTTTTTTACTTAACTCGTCATACATGCAACAAAATGTAGCATTTTTCATACAAAATCCATACCAAATCCATACAGAATCCATATAAAAATATGGTGGAGGTTGTTTAAGTCTAACATAGTATTAAAGACTAAAAAATAAATAAATCCTTAATTTAATATTTAATTAAATATATTTTAATAATTTTGCCGTTTGTTAGACCACATTTCTAAATCCGGATATAAAAGAAGTTTTGGTGAGAACTTCAGATGGCATTAAAGTAAAAATTGGTTATATTTTAGCTGCGGAAATGGGTACATTAGTGGAGATGATAAACGAATTGAACTATGATAGTGGTGATATTATTCCTTTGTCAAACGTTAGAGGTGAAATCTTAAGAGCGGCACTTGATTGGATAAAGTATGGAAAGGATACGGAATCTGAAGATGCTGAGACAATATATGATTTTAATCAAGATTTTGTTCGTGGCTTTTTTGAAAAGGACAATTCGTTTATAATTGAGATTCTGCAAGCTGCTAATTTTTTAAATATTGTAACTTTGCGCAAAGGAGCTTGTAGAGCACTTGGTAACTTGCTAAAGGCTAAAACTCCAGACGAAATTCGTTCCACATTCGATATACCTGATGATTTAAGTTCAGATGAATTACGTCGTATGTTGGAAGAAAGTGGTGGGTTTTCGTACGAAACATAAAAATTGTTCAGTTGTTATTGGTTCATTAAACTAATTTTTAAATAAACTTTCAATACAGTTTTTTGATTTCATCCACAGAAATTTAATATTATAAAATTTATTATTATAAAATTTATTATTATAAAATTTATTATTATGAAATTTATTATTATAAAATTTATTATTATGAAAAAGTATTAAATAGCAATGAATACCAACAGAATTGGAGTAGAAAAATTACATACGATCAACGGCATTCACACATTTAATGCTTTTATCTGTTTAGACAGATTTAGACAGATTTTTATAACTAATAACAAATTTAGTATATTCTTTGCATGTTTAAATAAATTTGATTCTTTTAACTTTGAATAACAACTAAGGAATACTTACCCAACTAAATATTCGCTTAAACTATGTGCAGGCAGAGCTATTTCAATTTTATCTGTTAGTGTATCGTTTATTCCCTCAAAAGGTTTCAATGGTCTTTTCAAGAGTTTACTGCAAATGTCCCTGGACACAGCTAAGAAAATTGTAATAAATTTTCAATTAAATATTAAAATATAAATTTAATTATTTACTTACAGTTATTTATATTAAGATGTATGTGTATCATTAACAGATGTTCTAAAATGCAATGTGTCTGGAGTAATTTTGCCAGATGTATGCCACTCTCGTTCTCACTGAAATTGCTATTCTTAAACCCTATACTATCAATGCTTAGCTTTTTAGTCTTCTCAACATTTTTATACAATAAAGTCTTTCTAGCAATCGGCGGAGCTTCAACGCGTACAGCATTTTTCAATGATTTACGTATATTCGATACGAATGCATCATTTTCCTTCTCTACCACACTGTAATCATAAAATAAATATTTTATTTTATTTATATATTATACATATAACTTATAATTATTACATATACATATTAATTTATATAGTTAGACATATATTTATAAATGTACATAGAACTCACATACTTTTGTATATAAATATATATCTGTCTTATGTTATATACTTATACATTCATACATTAGAAAACTAACTTCTTTTGTTTTAAAATATTGGCGCTGCACAGTTTACTTTCAGTAAAAATGTACTCATAATCTTTGTATAGCTTTTGCAATCCAATTTCCAGTAGCAATTCCAGTGGCTCTGAGCCAGTCAAACATGGTATAGCTAGGCGACGATTTGCAACCTCGGTAATGATTTCAGCCAATCGATTTTTATTCGTTGGTATTTTCTAAGGTAAGAAAAAAGAAAGAAAAATTTTTAGATTTTGGTTAGAAAAGTTTTTCTAATCGATAATTTTTTTTCAAAAGCGGATTATTTTTAATTCTATGAGCAATGCATATAACAAATTTCTTTTTTATCGTTTACATTACATATTCTGTTTTATTTAAATTTTAATTTTTTTTTAATATTATAGCTCAATATTATCTGTCTGCAGTTGAGAACAGAGTGGCACAGGCAATTACCTATTTTATCCAAAAAAGTTATAAGATCAATAAAAAAACGTTAATGGATCTGTACATTATCTTAAGATTTCAATGCTTAGGGCATATTATTCATATCTGTACAAGAATTTTAAACAAAGTAATATGTAGTCAGACCCGTAATCAGAAATTTATATACTGAGGAATAATTTCAGTAATTAAAAAAAGAATTTTATTTTATTAAACAGACAATTTGTACTAATAATGAATATAAAATTATATAAATATAATCATTCAATACATTTTGTCTCCCATATTGTTCTTGTTGTAGCTTGCAAGGATCTGTGTAGCCCCTTTTGGGAGTCTACGGTGGTTATTGAGAGAAAGAGTTAAATAAAGACACATAAACAGAGAGCAGTGGTTCGACATAGAGGCCGGGTCAACATCCCGGAGCCTCTCGTAGAGTTCGACCACCAAATACCGTTCGCCACACCTAAAAAAGACCTACAGAAGCAGATTCCTGTGAGTTACAACAACAACAGTGCTTCTGGAACGTAGATCTGTATCCAACTCTCATATTATTGTTTTTAATAATTACCTATCACTCATAATTACCCACATATTTAACTATATATAGACGTATTATAAAACCTTCATATAATACTCGTACATACCATAATATTACAACGCGCTGCACATTGAAACACAACATGAAATCCCAATTTTAGTTCCTTATATGATGAACAGCCTTTATTTAAAAAAAAATATAAATAAACATACATTAATATATTGCATATCACAAGTACCAAACCAACTCACATTTTAATATGTCCCATAACTTATCCGTTAAATCAAATAAATTTCTGCCTTTGCTCTTTTCCAAGACTTCCTCAATATCACTCTCTATAAGGTTCTGTTCAAAATCTGCAATGCCAGAAACTTCCGTCATGACCTGCGTTACGCTATCACGTAGATCTTGCATATCAATGCCACTAAAGAGTAAATATTATTAATTATAAAAATTTACTATAGAAACACTATACCGTCCACAACGATAAACTGGTTCTGCATTATTTTCGGATAGATTCGCTTTTTTGTGCGCTACTATATCATCTCTAATGTATGTTAAAATATTTAATTGGTTTAGTAGATCTTTTGTGCTTGTACCACAGCAGTCAAAGCGAAAAATTTGTGTTAAAACTACATCATTACTTGCATTTAAGTCTATTAATGTTGGTAATTTAGCAGTAGTTGTCCAAGAGCAGAACAATTCAATGTCTGATTTGATCTGATAAGTGTTTTCAATTGTAGTCTCCACACGATTTTCTTGATGCGTGATATCATAATGATGACGCAGTAAGGTTTGTGTGTTTACCTCACAACTGGGGATGATACCTTGAAATGTTACAATTCCACGACTAAAATTATTAGCTAAAAATTCATATTGCCACAGCAAAGTTTTTTCGGCATCTAAAGCATCGCAAAGAAACCACACTGAACCTTGTGCATCACCGCTCATTAATTTTTGAAACTCCTCGTTGCATATTATATTGCACACTTTCTCCACATTTATGCCTTTGTGTACTTCTTCATCATGTTCCCAAGGATTATCCGTTTCTGATTTTGCAACTAAGCTCATATCACTAAAGGATTCCACTAGACATTCATCTTTTAGGGGACTGCCCGTCAAGTCCAAATCTACTTCACATTTACCAACTTTTATATTTATCTTTGATGGGGATATGATGTTTAAGTTTGGTCTATTACGTTCCTGAAAAAATATGTTTTATTAACAATTTGTTATGAGTTTGTTTGCCTTTTTCACCTCATTGTAGCAATAAATTATCTTTTCTTTCACTCCTACTCCAGTTATTTTATTTAAATAAGTTGATGGCGTTCCAAGTTCGATTTTATACTGATTACCATATCTTGTCTCTAGAAATTCATATACATTCCCCAAACAACAATGCATATTCTTAGTTATTAACAAATAAATGTCAAAGAATTTGTTTTTATTTTAATAATGGCGCCTGTTTGTGAGTCGCGGATAAAATTAATTCAAATTGCAAATGTTTATTTATAGCCACCAGAGGTCGTTGCACAAATTTAATTGAAGACTCAAATTTTACACTGAGCAACAAAAATTCTGTTGACATATAATTTAAATTTGATTTGAACGCGTAAGTACTTTTTGATTCGCATGCTCATGTCGTTATAATTTCAAGCCACATATGTTGGTTTAAGAAATACAATAAATATATAGTTTGTTGATATATTAAAGATTTAACACGGCACGTTCACTGGAATTTTATG